CCAGCTCGAATATCTCCGCAGAGCTCCGAGACTAGATTTGCTCCATCAGCGAGGGAGGGCACCCCACAGAACCTCGAGGGGCGAGCTATTTTTCCAAAGGAAGGAGTTTCCGCTGGTCACTGGGATTCCGACCATTGTGAGGGAGCCACCTGCGCGATAATCGATAATCAGAACTAAACTTCAATCGGGAGAAATTGCGATTTGGGGAGGAGAAGGCTCTGACCGCAGCAATCTGCCTTGATAAGGACCTCCCATTCCCGCCATGAACGCTTCAGAAATTCCAAAACCCTGTGCCGGAGTTTCGTCGACGAGAAAGAGAACGTTGAGGACGCGCATCTGAAGAAGAGCAAATCTGCTCCCGCCCCTAGACGAATCTCGCAGGTTCAGCATGTTCGAACATTCCATGGCTCCTACTGGGCAGGAGCTCTTGCGATCATCTCACACGTAGGAACCCACTCACATTAATTGATGACTCCCAGAAGAATATAATCCACTTCGGAATGGACTTGGAACGACATGCACCGCGGCAGGATGCCAAGTCATAATTTCTTATCTTGGACCCTTCATGACTCGCCTCTAGGTATTATCGACGCGTTTATCGAAAGACTCACCTCAGTGTTGTTATCCCATGTTGACTGACCCCCCTGTTTCTGAGCCCGCAATCGGTCGTTAACATCTGCCGTTCCGGCCCCGATTAAATCGCTCATCAACCTCTACAGCCAGCCCGTCATCAGTCCGGCGAAAATTCTCGTAAACAGCGGACGAAACTGAGAAATAGAGGGGAGGGGAATATTGAGTCGAGTCCAGTCTAAACGGACGATCGAATTAGGTGTCGGTCGCCTCTCTCGCCCTTTGTTCGGCCCCTCTATTTTTCGTTGAAAGCCGCGAGGGGCGTCGAATCGAGCATCCCGGAATCTGAAGTGCCGCTCGACTATCCGCCGTAACTGGAACTACTGAGTGAGCACAGGTGGAGAGCCAGCACTTCTGAATGACGGATAAAGCGGCACGGCAATCATCGCGTCATGCGAATGTGGGTTAAAACCAGAAGCAGTGCGTGCTTGCAAGAGCTCGCCTATCATCATGAGATCAATTAGTCGATGGCTTCGAGAAGATCCGCATACAAACCGGTTCGCGCCCATCGACCACTCGGAAGCCTGAGAATATCGCCGTGGAAATGTTTACTCTTTTCAGCACCGCGGTTGTCGAGCCATCAAGAGCGATTCACACCTCGACGAGAGCAAATATGAGTCCGGGACCTCTCACGAAAAAACTGATTAAGCAGCAGCTCGCACCGGTTCCAGAGTGATATCATTAAAAACACCGATATCGAGGCGCGACTGTGGGAGTCCTCAACGGAATTCTTCTGGAATCCTCGCAGAACTCGACCAACTTCATTCCTTCGCAGGGTTCACCTCCCCCGATTCTCCTGTGAATACCAATCAGACCAAGACTGAGCTCCTCTCGTCGAGATTGGCGGCTCTTTCCTGCAAATGCCCGAGACCCGACTATAGTACGACGCGTGATTAAAAATGATTAGGAACCATCAGACATACTTTCCAGAACTGACGACGCAAACAAACAAAAGGGCTTGGACCTCGAGCGTGAGGAGCTCGGATGGGACGTTGCTTAGAGGAATAAATTGCCCAATAATCTTTGATTCCCAGTCTTCCTTCCCTTGGACCCCCCTCGGATCCGAATGAATCAAAGCTCTAGCCCCAATCGTGAAGCAGGCCGAGGAAAATGGGGCTGAAGTTGAGCAGATGTCCCTGAGGCGATCGGTGGACATCTTCGACTCATTTCCGTGATTCGAGAGAGAGGAATATCCAAGTTCGTGATTCTTCACCTGGGCTTCCGATTTCGAATTATTCCCCAGCGGCCCTGTTCGTCTATTCCCCGTTCTAGCGCTCGTGGTGTCTCTGCGGTTTCTCGTCGTCGTTCCCGTCGCTGTCTCCGTGGCTGCAGCAGCCTGTGGTGGTGACGGTGGTGTAGTCGCCGGAGTTCTGGCTCGTCTCCTTCTTCCTCTTCATCTTGTCTTCTTTGTTGTTGTTTGTGTCCTCGTCGTCTTCGTCGTCACCGCCGTCGTTGGAGGTGGCCATCTTTTTTCTCTTTATAATTTTTCTCCTGCTCTATTGCTGCTGTTCTTCTCTTCGCCGCCGCTGCTGCCGATGCTCACTCACTCTCTCGCTCACGCTCGTTCTTTCTCTCGTTAGCTCTCCCCCCACTTTACTCGCCATCCCCTCTCGTCGTTTCTCCGGGCCGCTCCCTTCCGTTCGCTCCCTGCCAGGAATGAGGGGGAGCGGCGGCGGCGGCAGCAGCAGCAGCAGGGAGCTGTGAGTGAGTGAGCGAGCGAGCGAGTCGTGGTCGTTGTTGATGTCGTCGTTGTCGTCGTCGCCACTCTAGTGGTTGCTCGCCGCTGCTGGTTTGGCCGTTTCTCGCACGCTGTTCTCTCTCGCTGTTTCTCGTCGTGCTGCTGCTGCAGCAGCAGCTCCCTCTTTTGGTCGTCGTCGTTGTCGTCCCGCGCGCCGCCGCCGCTGGTGGCTGGCTGTTTCTTGTGTTCCAATGTATATATATCTAAAGAGAATACTATCACATTAGCGTGAGGGCGGTAGCGAGCGGTGACCGAGTCACCGCTGGCTCCCGCCTTGCGGTGAGCAGCGCCGCTCCGATTGGTGGAAGTCACCGGCAGAGCAGTCGGCGCCGCCCCTGCGGTGACCTAGTCACGTGGAGCGCAAATGCGCGCCGTCCTCCTAGGAGTCGTTTCTGCCGGCCGGCCAGATCATTGTTGATTAGGGCAATTGGTAGGAAGGAAGGAACGAAGGACCGACCGACGGACCGGCGGACAAACCGACAGGCAGCAGCAGCGGACAGACGGACGGACGGACCCACCGACCGAGAGCAGCAGCAACGGCAGCACATACAGACACACTCACACAGGCAGGCAGCACTCACATACATCGACACACACTCACACACAGTCCGCCACAAGGCGCCCTCGGCAGATGCGCGTGAACAACAGTGAACAGCGGTGGTGGTGTGCTCAACGCCGCCGAAAGCAGAATCAGAAAAAGCAGCTCGAGCAGCAGCAGTAGCAACAGCAGCAGCAGCAGCAGCAGTAGTGGTGCAGTGGGTGGTAGTTGTTGGCGTCGTCCTCGTTCGTGCGGAGCTAGTGGTGGACTCTAGTGACCAATATCGACCGCCGCCGTAGAGACCTCACTAGAATACTAGCGACCGACCACGTTGTCAGGAACAACGCCGTCGTCGTTGACGCCGTGGTCTCAATCTAGTCGGCCGATGGCAGATTCGGAAGCTGCCATCTGCGACTAAACCCCTACTGACGAGACGAATGTTCACTTGCGGATACAGTGCGAGCTTGGAGTCAGTGCGAAACTCGGAGAGTAAGGCGGTGAGGGGCAGTGCGTGAGTGCATCAGTCAGTCGGCCCATCGAGTGAAGAAGAACTCGCCGGCCGCGGACTCGGAACCCCACAACTCGCCCTGAAGCGGCTGAAGGCAGTCATCTCGTGAGGAGTCCGTCGTTATTGTTTCTGTCGCTCGTTTTCGTTCGCTGTGCCGGTCCTGTGCCCGTGGAATAATTAAGTGCTCCGGCTAACAGCTATCGTACTAGTCTGTCGACAACCGCCGCCGACAACAACGGATTCCGAATCAACAGTTGTTGGATTAATGAGGTGAATTGACGGTGCCAGTTGAGAGGAAAAGTTCGCTCCATGTGAAGTGGAACATCGAGTGGGTTCTAGTAAAGCAACATTGCGGGATCTGGATAGCCGTTACTTCGGTGAAAATATCTGACGCCGTAGGGAACACATCCTGAATTCCCAAGATGTATCCCACAAGACATCCAGTCAGTTCGTCTCTGCCCGTGGCGGTAAGTGTAGAAAGTTTTTAGAGATTACCTAAAGACAGATTCTCAGACCATGAAAACGAGCTCGACACTCCATTCGAGAGGCTTTCATAACGGTGTGGTAAGGTTGCAACAGTACGGCCGGGAATCAAGCCCAGATTTTTCTCTTCTTCGGTGCTCAGTGCTGTGAAGAGATTCATCGTAACGAGAGCGGGCGTCCGACGAGCGAGTCGGGAGTGAAAGGGCCGGAGTGCATTTCAAGAACACCCGGCATCTCAGTCGCTCGAGTGGTTGAGCGGCGCATTCCAACTAATTTGTTGAGCCGAGTGTGGCGGTGAGGAAGCGAAGCCGAGAGAAAACGCGCCGATCTTCGTGAAGAGCACTAGTCGGTTTCAGGAGCCTTCTGAAGCGTTTCTATTTCGGTTTTTGAACTTGGACTTCTTGGTTCCGACGGATTATCCGGAGTCACTCATAGAAGTTCCGAGCATGACACCTCGTGGCGGGCTGAATTAACCATGCGGATCAAAGAGAAATTCAATTCTACCGTAACAATCTGGGCAACCGCCGCTCCATAGTGGCTGTGTGAAACGTGTGGGTCTTTTCTCTCTCTCCCTCTCGCTTCTCTTGTTCGCTCGCTCGCTCCCACGTTCTCACTCTCGCGCCCGCTCTCTCTCTCGTTGGTTTCTGGCCGACAGTTTTTCGCCGGTATCCGAGCGCTCCTGGCGGTCCGTATCCGTCGTGTAAATGGGATCGGCGGCGCGTCATTTTCCGAGTCCTGATAAATTTTCCTTTTCCAAACTCATTCGTCAGGCGGCGCGCACATGCTCACTTCATAGTGCAGCTGACTGATACTCGCTCTCATCAGAGTTAGCCTGCATAAGGGTTCGAATTTCGAAATCCGATGAGCGGCTTCGAGTTCGAACCGCCACAGTCGTCCGCCTGCTAGACCCAGCAACGAAAACAAAAACAGGGGATGCCGCTTGCCTAGTGGCGTATCGTTTCAATCGAGGCGCCAATCGATAGCTTCTGAGTATTTTGAATAATCACGAGATTTAACTCGCCATCCCGAAGAGCGTAATCGCGAGGCAATTATCGCCGCGTTCGAGATCGAGCGAAGTTCTCGCACGGCTACCCGGCTTCAATCTCCAATGGAAGTGATTTCATCATCGTGACCCTTGCTACCGGATCATGGACGTATTCGGAACTCCTCCAGAATTCCTGTACCTGGCAGCGATGGCCGATGCGTTCGAAAGCGTAAGACATCTTCCTCATCTGTTCTTCCGGCCATTCACTCCTTGCGATAATCTTGATTGATAATGATCGATCATCTATTTCGGGATTGATACTGAAACGGCAGCCGCGGCGATACTCCACTAGACTTGGCGGAGTATGCGATTACAGTCAGTTCGAGCAGTCTATCGATCGATCGCTCGATCAGCAACTCAAGTGATCGGTAGAACACTCGTTCAGTTTATCTGTCAACTCCGTATGAAGTCGTTCTGAGAGCACTTGACTTCGGTCTCGGTCCCAGCGATCATGTTTTACCTCGCTGTATCGATCCGGCGCAACATCGCTCGCTGTTTCGGGTAGACCGGCGAATCGTCGGAAATTCGAGCTAACATTTGATGTTGTTGTCGAGCGGATCTCAGCGTGCTCGGATTTTCAGCAGCATTTGCGACTCCATCTATTTATTGATGCGTCTAGCTGCCCCCTCGAGCGTTTGTGATTCGACGACAAGAACAGTTTGACTTCCGATCCTCGGACATGATCGTGAATGGGGTTTGAGATAATTTAATTTTCATCGAGGATCATCAAAAGCCAATGCAATGTCGACGACTTCGATGATCATCTCGAGACAGAGAGCGGCTCATGGACTCATGGAATTTTACAGGACGAGCGTCACTGAGTCACTGAATGGCTGAATGACCGACTGAGTGAAATTTTTGATCTCTCTGTGGACTCGATCGATCACCGTGCGGGGTGGGGGGGGGGTCGCTAGACAAAGGGCCGTCCCCGCCGCCGTAGTCTTTGATTCTGCGACAACAATGACCACCATCAGATTGAGCTGGAAGCCCCCCATGAGTGGCGGAGCTCATCCAACCGCTCTCCGAGGCTGATCGGAATTGTTGATAAATCCTCGATATCTCCGATGCGATCTTTACTGTTTGATTTCAACGCGTTTTCTCGAGGGCGACCTGATGGACTGAGACGGACCAGAGAACAGCAGGCACGATCATAAATGAGCCGCACATGTATGTCACCGTCGCGTCGTGGCCATTACCATGGTTGTCGCATGGCGTGCGAGAAGCGCATGAATTGAATCCTCTTCTGATGGCAACCCACATGTTCCTCGGAGTTGTTGCTATCGTATTTGGTCTCTCGCTCTTCCTCCGGTATGGGCCGTGTCTTATCTAAATTAGTCCCTCTATCAGGAACCGTTTCATCTTGTTCGCTTCCTCCGGCTGGCTTCGGGGTGCTTCCAGGCCGGTCAAAGTTCAATCGATCTTTTTTTTAGGTTGTTTGCGTTTAAAACCGAAAGCGTAGGGATCATTCGATCGACACGAGAACGAAGTCATTGTCAGGGTGATGACTGTCTCTTTCGTACAAGTTCGCAGTCTTCATTTACTCTCAATGCGAGCCAATTATGCGGTCGGCTAGCCGTGCATTCGGCATTTCAGAAACAAAGAAAACAATCTATTTAAAGACATCCACCACCGCCTTCGGTGAGAAAGCCGTTCTGATGCCAGCGGACCGGCTCGCTCGCTCGCTCGTTCGCCCGTGTCTCAGACGAACAGAGGAGAGCTTCGATTTTGTTGACCGACCTGCTCGCTTGCCTGCGCGCTCAGCCTAAGAACCGGTGTGCCTTCTCGGCGGCTGTCGTTTCTGAGCCGGTGTAGACCTTGTTGCTTCATGCATTCGATTCACGACCATCAGTGCCGACACCACGGCCGCTCAGTTCCAATGACCGAGTCGGCGAAAGTTGCCAACGGTAGTCGTTGTCACGCGGCGATTAAAGCCATTAAGAGCCTACTCTGATCGTTTGAGGGACGGAATTTTGATGTTCCGCGACTCAGCTTTCGGGCATCGGCTTACGAATCACTGGGAACATGACCGACGGATCCTACTGTCGAAGTGAAGCTGATAAAAAATCCGGCCGGTAGTCTGTGGGGAATCACATGGCCATAGAGGTGTTCGTGCTGAATTCTCCGAGAAATCGATGTTGATCATTCAGGTCGAGCCTAGTGTCGAAGCTGCTTCTGCTGCGCGTCGCGGTTTCACTCGCCACCCAATGTTTGGTGCTCAATACGCGGTAAATGGTAGTCCGCGATGGTCGACCAGAAGCGTGACCGCGACGACTATCAACGTTCATCATCATCACCGGCCAAGACGTCATAACCGGAATCATTGATGACGGCTACGTCTGCGGCGATAAACACAGGCATTATCTCGACAACAGTGTTTCCATGCGATCTGAAAATTGATTTGTCGATGTGATGGAGCTGACGCTCTCTCACAGTGATTGCCTGATTGAGGAATTTTTCTATGATTCGATGGATAGATGGACGGCAATGTTTGATGATCCCCTCACCGATTCTTCGATTCGATCTGACTCATGGTCGAAATCGAATACTGTCGGACGAGCACTCGGTTTCTTCTTCCGCGAAATACACATACCCCGCCCCCAAGTTTGATCCGCCAATTAATTAGACTTGAGCAGGCGCGATTGGCGAATACCTATTACATGATCGACCCTGTTTTCTCTCCGCACTTCTCCCATCGATGAGGAACCAGCGAGTTGAGCGCAGATAGAGAACAATTTCCTTTCGGCGCTGCCACCGCTGCAGCCACCGAGTTAACACTCAAACTCTTCGGATGTTTGTGTGTGAGTGTTGCTTCGTGTGGGTGTGAGAGTGGGAGCGAAAGAGAATTAGAGAAAAAGAGCTCTGTGAGTCAAGCCAAGTAAGTGAGAGCTTCGACTGAGCCAGGTAGCACTTCCATACAAAGCGCAGGAAACAAGTCGTCACCGTAGTCAGCACGCTCGGATTGGTCTGACGGTCCGCCTGTCTGTCTGATTGACTGACTGACCGAGAGAAAGAGTGAGCGAGGCCAGATTCTCCGTCGATCCGTCCCCCTAACCGTCTGTCGACGGTGGAGGAAGCGAGCGATTGAATCAACGCGCGACGAACGGACGGACGAACCAACAAACGAACGAAATAGCGACAAGAGCGAGAGAAAGTGAAACAGAGTCCGGGTAAGCCTTCGAGTTTCACAGTTCCCCTTGGGAGAAAAGCAAAAGAGCAAACACGGCCGCTGCTGCTGCCGCCGCTGTTTCGTTTGCTGAAACTTATTACGTTGCTCCGGGGCTTTCGTTGGTCATGTTCACAGCGCGCAGGGCTTCGATTCGAGAGCGGACTAGCAACCGAAAAAGAAGCCGAAGAGGGGCAAAGCTTTCCGGAGGAGAGACTCGGAGACATAGCGGGACGATAACATAACTAAGCGAGCTGAGCGACACCAAAGTAAACATTGGACCAGGCGACGGTTTACGCGGTAAGCGATGAACAAGCAAACGACAATGTATCATACACCGGTCACGCAGAAGTCACGCACCAGTCGCACTAGGGCTCGGGGTGCGTCTGGGAAGCAGGACGTGCTCCCATAAAACCGCACAAGCGAAGACTCCCCTCTTCCTCACGCCCGCCGCATTCATGGATCTCCGCATTTCTCGAAGAGTCCCCGCAAGTCTGGCCCATGCCTCTTTTCCGAGAGAGAGAGGCAATCCGAAAAAACTCCAGGATACTCTGACGGGGGAAAACTCGGTCGGCCTGAGATTTTATGATGCAGGTCACACCGAACGAGATCGCGGAGGGAAGAGAGATCCATTGGGATAAAGAGTGCCCTGGTGAAATATCTGAGTACTCGATGAGTGCCTCCTAGCCGAGAGAGGCCGGTCAACCGACCACGCGAGCGAGCAGTTTGCTGTAATTGTCAATTACTCCGAGGTATCGCTGCTGATGCGGTGCGAAACAGCTGAGTGGTCCTTGCGCTATTGTGTTCCTCTCGATTACAATAACAAGGCGACGGACGGGAGAAATTGAGCGGAAGTCGATTATTTCCCTGGCCGTGATGATAATCACGATTATCCGGGTCCAAAACTCTCACAGAATTCGAGAAACTTCGAGAAACCACGCCATATCGACTTCTGACGTGAGCTTTTCCCCATGATGGACTGATGAATGAGCCTCCCAAAAGATCGAGGGTTGAAGTTCTCGAGGGTTCGTGGGGAAGATGATTGTTCCTCGGGATCATACCAATCAAACTTCTTCTCACTCGATCTAACCACCGATTTCTGTGGTAAGTGAGCCTTGTGATTGAGTTCACTGATGCATATCAAGTTGCTGTCTATGCTTCTCATCCCATACAACATAAAACAGCAACAACAAGTGAATAGGTCTGGCGCAGCCCAGAGAAGCTCGTCAATCGAGCGTTCGGGAATTTCTCTCTATTTATTCATCGTCTGTTTCCCGGGAAAAAGCCCAGGTGGCTCTCAAGTCTGAGAATACTGGCATCTGGCTCATTCCTGCGCAAGAGGACACGCATAAACAAATATGTAGCCGTGCCTGGGTACTTCACAACAAACAACTAAGCGATCAAATGACAGCGGCAGACATCTCTTCACGGCGCCCTCGTTCACCCGGGATTGTAGCGCGCTATTCATGTCACGGGTTTTCTCGATCGAGCCATTTGACAGATCATATAAGTAGATTGCACCAGATCGAGCTGAAGACAGTCTCTGGGACAGAAAAAAACTCACGGGCGGTTGTAACATCTTATCGAAAGCCTGGGCAAGGATTCGGCGGGAGTGGAAGCCGGAACCGGAGAGAGAAGGGAGAGCGGGAGAATCGCAGACGCAGTATCACATGATAGCTCTGGAAACGGTCAGAATCTAGCATTTCGCGAGACTTAGGGGGCAAATCGGGCGACCAGGGTTGGGAATCGGCGATGAGTCCTGAGCCTGACAGAAGCTTCTCGAATGCGCGAGTTCGTCCGGAGTCGATAGCCCGCTCACCGAATCCGGGCAGGGCGACGATTTTTGCGGGTCACCATCCTAAGTTTCATCGCGAGATTACCAGGCTAGATGATTCGTGGATGAGAACGCGAACTTCGCGCAAGGGATAGGGTATCGAGAGTGTGGTCGGATAATACACTTCCTCCGAAGGGATCCCTCAGGGTTGCCCCGCGAATACAGGAAGATTCCTATCAAGAGATTCGACCTCGACTCTCCTACGAAAAGATCGTGCTACCGAAGGATAGAAAAAGGATCTAACCAATGTTTCGTTTCTCTTTTTTGCAGACCGCGAAGAAAAAGGTAATGCCCCCCTCAGGAATTGACAAGGTGAAGTTTCTTCATTAACCACATCCTTAATGCTCATGTTTTGCTTCTCCTAGTTGCCTGCTCTCCCTTAAATGAATGAGCTTGCTCCTGTTTCGCTTGCGAGAATATGCGCGCATTGTCATGCACTCTTGTTTCTCGTCTGTTTTGAGCTTTTTCGCCGGCCACCTTTCTTGTAAAGGAACTAATTGTGTCATCTCCCATTTGAATAGAATCATTCAATGCTCGAATCGAAATTCTCTCGCCTGATGTACCAATGAGGTGACATCTTGATCGAAATCTCGTTTCCCTGCACATAGATCGCTCTCCTTGCGCTGTTCGCTCACGGCGGACTGAGGAAGAATGCTGCTGGATTTACCGATCGACTTTACTGTTTGGCCACCGGCTGCGGCTCTCAAGGTCCCTCATAGGGGGCTGAGCTGATCATAAAATCAATCAAATAGCCAGCTAGTTACGCTTCATAGCTCAGAATCATCTTTGGATCATCATATTGATCCTCTAAATGCCTATGTGTGCCTTAGCTCAGCTGGAGCAGCTCCGAGAACAGAACTGTTGACCTAACGAATGCAGACATTTAAGCGCGTGATGAAAAATCGAGTGTTTGCACAAGTTTGAGAGGATGATGAAAGACTGATGTGAGTGGCAGTCTCTGAAAAATCTCCGCGCGAAACCCCCTCTGCTGACCCATCCGATGGAATGGGGTACTCGAAGCTCTATCCGGCACTCAGGCTCGAGATACCTAGAAAAGTCTTCATCCAACCCCTCATTGAGACTCACCCCTCCCGAGTAAGGAACTCCCCGACAAGCGTCTTCTGGATCATTCATCTGAGAGGATTCATTCGATCGGTCGTCTGGGAGCCAGGGGTTTGTGTCCCCCAACTTCGATCCCAGTATCGTCTTAACGAGTGAAGGTGATTGAGGATAGGTGGGCAAAGAGAAAAGACACCGCTTGGGTGGTTTCCGCGCATGAATTACGCTTCATGCTACCGGCTGACTGAAGAGCAACTATTACGCGACGGCGACAACGATCCGTCGTCGCTGCTGCTGTTGACGATGTTTCGATTGTTGCCGCTGTTCAAAGTCGTCAGCCGTCGATGCCAAATGCAGTCAGTCATCCGGTGTGTTCGGCCGGTCGACGCCGCCACCAGCTCCGCTCAGAAGAGGAACCAACCACTTAATCAGTTAAAGCAGCAGCAGCAGCGGCGACGGCACCGGTAGAAACAACAACAGCGAATGGCGGAATCGTGGTGCATCTGGGGATGCATTCGCCGCTCCCGGCTACGAACGCTGCCGGTAGCGTGTCGTTTGCTTGACTGGCTCCGCCGACCAGCGCTGGGTTTCTGCCGCCGCCGCCGCTGCCGTCGATGAAGTCAACAGCCCTGTGCGAGTGTGTGGTGTTCAGCTTCGCTTAACATGACGCTTCGCTGGTCATTCTGTCGCCCTGCCGCCGCCACGATCGTCGTCGACGTTTTTCTCTTCTGTTCTGCGATTCGTCACCGTTCGAAATCTCCGGTCGACCGACCAGCGAGCCGGTCTTTGAATGTCGCTCTGAATCAGTGGATGAGTGACTGAATGAATGAGTGAGTGAGTGTATGATCGACAGGCCAGCAGGCACGAACACATCTTACCAGAAATCGAGATGAGGATGGGGGTGGGGCGAGAGCGAGCGATCGACACGTCAAAACTCTGCTAAAGATCTCACTCGTACAGAACGGGAATGATAATTAATAGCGCTACCGCAGCACGACATCCGGAGGCCCGGAAAATCCCCAATCTACGTTTTCCCACGACGTTCCGTCTCGCTTCGTCTTCGATCGTCTTTCGACATCGAGGAGGCAACTTTGCGCTCAGTAGCTTCGATAGCTCTCAGAACGTCGATCCAATCCCAAGCCCGGCCAGAACCCCGAATGCATCGGAGTCCCCTCAGAAGCTCAGACCTCAGAAGTACTTTCCGGATGGCGAGCTCGAGCGATTCATTTCTTTTGAGAACATCGAAAACGGCTAGATTCTCTTGTTTTCTTTTTTGCGGTGGGGCGGAATTCCTTCATGTGCGCAACAATCCAACCTTTTCATTCTGAGGCATTTCTTCTGAAAACCGCAGTACATGAAAGAGGGAGCGAAGTTTGGTTGGAGGGTTTCGAACTACATGGCTGACCGCTGTGTTTGTGGTCGCTGACGAACAGCCCGACTTTCTGCCCATTCGTCCGCCTGCCCGCCTGTCCGCTCGGCTCTCTGACTGACGGGTTTGATTCTTGCTTGCTCGGTTGCTTCGCCGGTTTGACGACCTCCTCGAATCGCAGTTCGTAGGTTCCTCTGTTGGTCGGCTGGGCGGTTCGTTGCTTTGCTGGCGGCTTGTTTGAATCTTCGGCTGTTATTTGCCCGTCTCGTAAACTGACTGACGACTGATTTGTTGTTGGTGTTTCCACACTTGTTGCCCTCGATTCGCGTGATCTCATCTGAGCTGATTGCTGCCCCGAGTTCAGCGGGGCGGGAGCGATTCCTCAAGAAAAGGGCGCGATTTTCTCGAATGCTCAACTCCCTTAGAAGTTCTAATTGGCTCAGAAAAGTTTTTTTCGCGGCTCTCCTCCGCCTAGAGTTCCTCGACCAGCGATGAGATCATCTCCGTTGAGAGCCATCTGTAATACAAGCAGGCGTTCCATCTTCTCCGGTGAACTCAGAGAGTATCCTTCTGGAAATTTCCAAGGAGCTGTCCAGAACTGAGGGGCTGTCTCTCCCGATTTCCCGATCGTTTGAGCGTGGTGACAGCTACAAAAACCTTTTACCGAGGGTTCCCTATTCCACTCGATCGAATATCCGGATCTACGGTGCTATCCTCCGGACTCCAGATTCAGTGATCGTTGACAAGATGGGTGATCGAAAGAGAGAGTCATGACTGACTGTAGGCTGAATAAATTCATGATCATATGAGGAGATTATTGCAGTAATGGCTGGACGTATGATACTTGTACGAATGGATGTATTGTGATTGCATGAATGGGCGGATGGATGATTGTATGCGAGAATGGAATATAGACTTATTCATCGAACGAAATAATGAATGATTAAGGGAGAGATCGGATAATCGATTGATTTCCGAGAGAACTAACAATTCACAGTATCACAACGCACTAACATATACTCATTCTGCTTCTAGGCTGGTCCTCCTGGAGGCCAACCAGGACAACCATTCAAGTTCACCATCAATGAGTCATGTGATCGCATCAAGGAAGAATTCGGCTTCATGCAGAGCCAGTATCACAGGTGAGTTATGCCTCCGATGAATAGGATTTCCCCAAAAGAAACGATTCCCCTCGGGAAGACATTAATCGAAAAAGGCTTCGCGGGAGAAAATAGACTGCAGAGAAGCTCTCTCTGGTAATGAGGGACAATATTAGCGAGCTCGAGCGAGCGAGCGATGATCAGAAAGATCACCATAAAGACATTCTCACATTAGCCTCAAGCGACGCTTCGGTAGTAATGCTAATGATATCCCTCAGAGGGCTGTAGAATTCCGACACTCATTCGTTCATTCGCTTGCTGCTCACTCGCCGCCGCTACTCTGTTAGCCGCTTGTCAAGCAGAACATTCTAAGGTGACACTTTTGGTGGGTCGCTCGACGACGACCGCGCCAACCATTCCGAAAAAGACCGAGTGGTTCACCCGAGTACCGAGTTCCACCACCGTCTTCGTCGTCGCCGCTACCGGCGAACGCCACCAACCGCAACTACCACACCGATCGTGTTTGTATCTGTCGTTGCGTCTTTCCCGAAGGAACTGTAGATAGCTCACCACTTTTTTGAAAGACCGAGAATAAATAGCCGTCATTCACCCTCCAGCGACAGTAGCTACGGCCCGATGGATAGATACTTGCTCGTTTGGCGAGAATAAGGGAAAAGGTTGGAAAGAAATCACAAGAGCGAAAGGCGCACAAGGCTCGCAGGAAGGTCTCCGGTGGAATGCCCATGCTAGCTTGTTCCGATGTTACCGGCTTGATGGGTCCTTTGACTGCATGGTTCACCGACGGACGCGCGGACCGAGTGTGTCTGCATGGGGATGGAACCTGGCTAGAAGCGGGCTTCCGAACGCCGTGTCAGCGCTCTCGGTCAGGAACAGCCGCCGCTCATTCAGTGCGGGGCAGGCCCAGAGGGGACCGCCGTTAGGCAGCCGCGGGAGTGGGCCGGCAGGCGGGCGATATTGCGAAAGCAGACTGAAGGTTCGCTGTGAAACACTTCCCGCTGTCTCGGAGGCCTTGGCCGAGCCGTTCGTTACAGCCTTCACTCGGCTTGCAAACCTACTACTGAGTTCATCTATTGCTCTGTTTCCACTCGACTTTGCTCTGCTCTGTTTGGCTTGGCTTGATGACGCGCCAGCTTGAATGGTTTTCCGGCCGAACGAACGACCAACCGACCGACCGACCGACCGGCCGGCTAGTCGTCCGGTGGGCCTGCGCACCTAACGAATAGATCAGGCTATCGGACGGTGAGCGCGGCTACGCTGGCAAACGGAAACACAGACAGATCGACTGACTGACTGACTGACAGACGCTCGCTCGCTCGCAGCGACGGATGAAGAGATACACCAATAAGCTGCTTGTCACTTGACCATTCGGTCCGTCACTTTGCTGCTCGGTGGGTAAAATTGTCAGTCAGTCATCGGGGTCCACAATTTGTCGTCCTCTCTGTCGCGATTCCCGACCCGGACAAGAAGCGGGGCTGGTGCTTCGTACGTTGGCCTCGTACATCTCTGCCTCGCACGTCTCTTTTTTCTGATCCGGAAGGGGGTGGAAACCCCGACGAGAATATCAATCAATTCCGCCTGAATTCCGAGGTCTACGACGGCGGTCGAATGATGATAGTTCGCCCGCTTTTTTCGCGCCCACCAAAGTCGCTCTCTAAAATTGTCGAGGCCGAACTCGAGAATTGGATTCGGGTTTGAGTCGAGCGGTTGTTTCTGCTTGTCACTCATTGCCTCCATCCTACTTTCTGAGGCTGCAGGTAGCGAGCCTAGCGGGGAAATTGCCGAACGATGACTTCGCGGCCAACCACCACGAGGCGACAACTCCATTTTTCGGTTTTCCTCGAGGAAATTCGATCTTGGTATCATTCTGGATGTGCGATGTGAATGGCTCGAGTCGGTTTGTCGATCAAACTCGAGCCGCCTTCGCTTCCAACTCGCCATACGCTAAAAGCTCAAGGATATCTCTACTCAGAGGTCGGCAGCGGAGTTACTTCTGAATCTATGACTAGGAGGATCAGTCTCCGTCGCTTAATGGGGGCAATTAATAATAATAATTGAAGGGGGCAACAAGCACAATATCCAATTGAGCCGTTGCCTTGCCTTTCTCATCACACGATCTCGCTTAGCGATAATGAATGTCAGGTGCTTCAGTTGGCATCCCGTGAGAATTCAGTATCATTTGAAGTAATGACGGCGATCTCCCGCGCGCACGCTCTGTTAAATTGTTTCACTAAGCCGCCGCAGCGACCGAGCTGCTCCTGATGGCTCCGGCGGTCATCATCATCGTCTTTGCTGTTATACAAATGGTTGTTGTTTCTGGCGCGGCCGCCGCGCCGTCGGTGAAGGCGATGCTCCGATGTCGCTGGTGGCGGTGACGGCGGCAGCAAACAGAGCCAACGAAGCGGAGCGACAGAACTGAGCGCCCTCGACAGTCATAGCACCTCGAGCACAACCAGCGGCAAGTACATGCAGATAGACAAGCATTCGTGGATTGACTGCCATGAGCCCTGATAGATGACAACTGAGGGAGAGAGGGATTCTCGGATTGGTGAATGAACGCTTGGCTGCTCAGACGCATGGATGGATGCTTCGGCTGCTGCTTGAATGGGTGGATGGATGAATGGCTTGATCTTGATGAGTGATTGAATAGATCGGCTGAGTCGCGGATGAGTGAACGCCGATGAATAAATGATACTTTATCGACGACTAGCGACGGGTGTATCGGCCGAATAGCAGTAAAGCGTTTGAGCGGAGCGAGTCGTTGTTACACGAAGCTCGCTTACCGGCCGTTTATGATATGCATCATGAATTGATGCTGGACAGACATTCAAGCGTTCAAACGAGGCACCAGAAGGCTCCATATATGGATCGTTGGATCAGCGGCTGGAATTAGTTGGGTTGGATTGACTGCCGAGATGAGCGATTGATTCGTTTCGTTGGATAGGCTGTGAAGACAACGGTGCTGACTGAATCATACGTCGCGCTGCACGAGACCTGCCCGCAATCCAGCTCCATTTACTGCGACCGGCCAGCCTTATCGATTCGTTCGGAGAGATTCGTCGTTTACGTAAAGCGACTCAGATCGTCAAGCGTTCACGTGACGGCATGCCCCCGGCGCCGGAGAAAGGTCTCAAAATTACATTCAAACGGGGTTCCCATCTCAATTTCATTTCATGATTCTGGATGACTTGGGTCCCGATGGTGTTTGGCTTCGGTGACCGCGAGCATTCTTCAGCATGTAAAAACGGAAATCGGGGCACCATGCTCAGCGAAGTCGTTCACAGCTCTCCTGCCCTGCGACGGAGCTGCGAGGGCTCACGAGGAGGGCAAGCGACCGCAGCGGAAATCCGATGACTGGGTCCGCGGAGCGGTCGGGTTCGCGGATTATTACGCGGACTCGAGCGGAGGCTTTTTCGATATACCGGCCCACTGATTCTCCATCCTTGCATACGATCCTCGGAGAGATGCGCGTCCCAATTGAAGCAGGCCAAACGTTTCGGACAGCGGCCGTGCTTTCCCGGCGAGCTGCAGCCGCGACGACGGTGAGCTACGGTGAATCGATATTTAATCGTCGTCTAGTCGTTGTTGGAGTCGCTGCCATAGCGTGATAGATGCTCGTCGTATGATACGCTTCCTCGTCTCGCTCGCTCAGTTACCCTGTCGGCTCTTTGTCTCTCAGTCAGTCAGACATTCGCTCATAGATTCCACATTCGAAGGCAAGAGCGCCTAGTCAGCTTGCTGCTTGACTGCTTTACTGGTTGGTCGGCCAGCCGACGAAACGCTCTAGTGATTCCTCACACGCCACTCTTTGTCGCTCCTTGGATCGATACTACGGTAACAACATCGAAAACATCATGAACGCCCCCCAATCCCCTCAGCTCGGCGGTTCCCACATCAGTCATCTCTTCATCGCCGAGCCAAATCGACTGCGGTGAGACTGCAGGATCAGATGACGCAAAATCGCCTGTCTACAGCCGTATCTGCCAATTAGTAGATGGAAGAGAAATGATTTGCTCGCCGAATCCGGTGGTCTCGAAGAACCATATCTTGCGCAGTCACCGTCGACTCCTGGTGGGCGGTGGGATCCGGGCTACGGATGAACACAACGGCGGAAATTTCTGATGATCTCGCTCAAGGAAATGAGGAGCTGGTGTGCAAGTTGTCTCAGACAGCACCCCGCCGCCCTTTTCGGAGCAACGGTGTCGCAGAATAGGAGGCGTAGCCGGTGATCAGGACGTCTCAATTAGCGGAGAACATAAATCGTTTCGGGAGAAGCTTAATGTTGACCAGCTACCTGAAGAGCGAACAGAACGACTGATCATCACAACCATTAACGGCGATTCCGGCAGCAAAGACTATTAGCGAACGACTAAACTGTTACCGGACCCGGCCTTCCATTCAGCAATCGAGCACTAGGGAGAGTTCGCTGTGCAGATAAAAACAGCCTCGGTCGAAACCTCCTTATTTGCTCCGAGCTAAATTATCCAGAGCTGCCATCTGACTAATAATCACATTTTCCTTCTTTGCAGCTTGAAACTTGAATGTGATAAGATCGCCAGTGAAAAGACCGAAATGCAGCGTCACTACGTCATGTACTACGAAATGAGTTACGGACTCAACGTTGAAATGCACAAACAGGTTAGTTCGGGATGTCTTTCCTCTAAGTTGCGTGAGTCGACCACGCGGTCTCGAGGCTCGTCTGTGAACATCGTCGGTGATCTACCGCCGCGGCGTATCTGATATTGTAACCGAAGACGAAGAATGATGAAGTCGATGCAGGATCTCGTTCAGATTCTTGTTCCGGACGAGTCTGCCGACTCGAAGCCATTAATTCAGAGCTTCACCTGATTGAGCCGTCTGAAGGACTCGCTTGTCAACAGTCCACCGTGCGCCGCACCGGTGAAGGCCCCAAATCGTCGATCCTCCGAATCCAAAGCAAATGAGCGCCATTTGAATAGAATACGCGGTGCCAGCGACTGCATTACAGCATGCCGGCAGATATATTATCTTTGAGTGATACACCCTACGGACAGTCAGCCAGAGTCGACGAAAGGCCAACAGTCGAGCGATTCCGCTACCGGTCGCTGTTGTCGAAGCTGCTTCACTCTGATGTCAGTTCAGCTGCTCCCGTGGCCGAGATCAGCTCAAATAGACACACTCACTCAAACACATTCGCACACACGCGCACAGAGACACACATAGGCATGCAAAGACAAACAGAACGATTTACAGGATGGCTGGCTGACTTGCTGGCGAACGAGCGGCCAGGCTGATAGATCGAGTAGGAGATATAGGTACATTCGAGAGCTGTGTTGCCACATGCTCTACGTTCAGTCCAATTTGGCCACCACACAGCTCGAGCGTAGTTTGTCAAGCTGCAGTTGTTGTTGCTCCCATCGTTGCCGCCCATGCTGTCCTGGTCTGTCAAATACCCGAGCTGTCCGGGGAGCTACGGATTTTTGAAATTCGCCGTAGAGCGGAAGTATTTGTTTGCTTTCACAATATTCCCGACGGCAGCTCTGTCCATCCCCGAGTGCGTTATTCCTCGTGGTCTCCAACTCCGAACGCTCATGTGTATGAATCAATCGTAGCCCTCATACGCGTAGATCTGTCTGTATGGAAAGAAATACAGTAGAACCTCGTTGTATCCAAATCCATATCCACGGGATACTCCCGCATGTCAAATCCCTACACGACGACGACTGCTCGGATCTCTTGGCGGAACGTCTCCTAGGCGGCTGTCCCTCGAAATGAGGCTTCTGCTCTAAACAAAGACGGCAGCTTCGTGTTGAGCGCTGCGCAGATCTATTCATCACAGACAGCGACAATGAGCTAGTACATTAGCCTCGCTCTTCAAATATCTTCGTACCCCTTGTGAATCCGATGTAGATAAATTGTCGACAACAAAGCCTTTAATAGGCGCTTGTCGCTTTTCTGTGAGTCATTTCGAATTCGACACCATGTTTCCGATAAGAGGCTGGCGGCAAAGATTCTACGGGTAATTCGTTAGATCGGACCCAATAATGAGCCGGCGTAATTGAGCTTCTTCCTCGTCGACATCGTCCAATGACGTCGTGGACAGCAAGAAGACCGAGGAGGGAATGCGGAGTTCGTCGTTGAAAATATCCGGATTGCCGGTACGTTTCATTGGCTTAGCCATGTATCGACGGAGCGGGCACCGGCGAATCGACAACTGCATGACGCGACATCCGACAAGAGATCGATTCAACAGATGCCCTCAAAAATCATTTCTGAAAAAGAGCACCTTGACCCTTATCAGAAATCGGCCGCGGCTGCTTACGCAACTACACCCAATCGTCGATCATGTAAATCAGCGTAGATGGTGGAAAGAGAATCTCTCTTGTCAGTCGATCAGGAACATCACCGATGAGTTAGAAGTTGAGACTGGAGATATGCTCGAGCCACGTGAAGCTCTGTCGAGAAAGAGCGTCGAGCTAACAAATTTCTTTCTTTGCAGACTGAGATCGCTAAACGGCTAAATGCAATCATCGTACAGATTCTACCGTTCCTTTCCCAAGAGCACCAAGGTCAAGTCGCGTCTGCTGTTGACAGAGCTCGTCAGGTTACCATGAACGAGTTGAACACGATCATCGGGGTGAGTTCTTCTGGAGGCTTCCTTGTTGCAGGGGGGCCGAATCTCCCCCATAGGATCCGGCTCTCGAATCCAAGCCCGTTCCCTTCAGAGAGCCACGATTTTTTCGTATGCAGCGCGCTTAAGATCGAACTAGGGGTCATTTATATTAATCAGCCATATCTTCCTTAGACTCAGATGCATGCTCAGCAAATGCCGGCACATGTTCATGGCCCCAACCTACCGATGATGCCTCATGCAGCTGCTGCAATGGCGGCTGCAGCCGGTCTTCAACCTCCCGCGCCGAACACGGCTGCAGGTCTCCTTGCGCTATCGTCCCTTGGAGCTGCGGGTGCACCCCCGGGTGCTCATTTGGCCGCGGTTACGTCTGCAGCTGCGCAGCTAGTCAAAGATCGCGAAGAGCAGAAGAGATCCTCATCCGTGCACAGCACCGAGGAAAGACACGTGAGTTGTATTTTCTGGCTCAATCGGCATTCTCTGCTCGAGTCACAGCTGCCAGAAAGGAATCTATATCAGGCTATGAATTCTCATCTGTTCGAAACATTTCAGAGGAACTCGATCTCCCCTGGCGAGCAGAAATTCAGGTCATCCGCTCGCACTCCTGACATGGAAAACGAAATGAAGAAACGTAAGAAAGAAGAGAAGGACTCAGATGGGGAAAAGAGTGATCAGGAGTTGGTGGTGGACGTCGCCAATGACGACTCTGTTGGACCTGCTAACGGAAACGGTAAATTGCCTCCGCTGCTTCAGACGCACTCTAGAAGACTACCAACTCGGGGGCGCCTTACACACCAGTTCTACGCATAGGTACTCGAAATCATGCGATGTTGTGAGCCATCTCTCCACCAGTGACCATGTGTGTCACCGTTGAGCATTCCGGACTTCCATCCATAGAGCTGTTTTCGATAGTTGCATCCGTCGGTGCTTCCCTGAATTGAATTGTCACTCGGATCTGTCCTTGATCTTCCCTCAATTCATGGATTATGAGAAACCTTTACGTTTGCTCGATTGTAGACTTCCGATACCTCTCAACTCCCCATCCATCTTGTCATTTGGCTCGAGACATAAGTTGTATTATACGTGTACTGAGTGAGTGAGTTATACCGGTCCGCCCGATTCCCTGTAGTCGAGACACGGAATCTGTGTTCAGTACAACGATTTCATACAGCGCGCCTCGAAGCGGCGTACTCCCTCACTCGGATACAATATACCTATGTAGAGAGCGAAGTTCCCGGAAACCAGTCGATCGATAAATCGATCCATGAGTGTGCTCGTGTGTGAGAGCACGGCGAGCCTGCGTGGCCGCATGATCAATTGTGTGTCTTAAGGCGAAGCGTCGAGAGCGAAGTTCCGGTCGTCGTGTGATCCTCTTGGCCTTCATCAGCCTCCAATGTTGAATTTCCACATCATCGAACAGGAACCAGCCGAGCATCTAGCGAGCCCACATCGCGTTCTGTCTCGGGTCGAGTCAGGGCTCTTCGGTCCCGCATACATCAACTCTTCTTTATATTTTTGACGAAAGCTTGATCGGAGCGAATTCATTTTTCGCGGAAGTTGTTCTGGGGGTTTCTCCGTCAATGAATAAAACTTACGATAAAACTTACGATTGTGCTCGGTCTAGACGCTCTCCTAAATCTCTTCGTTCTTCTACTTCCAGGCTCTGCAGCCTCGCCCCGAGAGAATGGTGCGGCGGAAAAAGTCATTAAAAAAGAACACTCGCATTCGCCTCACTCGTCCAATTCTTCTACCCCTAAGCAGCATAAGGATCTTGGACAGGCCGGAGCTTCAGCCGCACCAATAACCAACGGGGAGAAAAGCACCACACCTAAGCCGGCAACACCCACATCTCAAAGCAACGGTACGGGGCTTGTCCAAACAATATCCAGTCCTGGTCTCGAGTACATATAATCAGCAACGGAGAGGATCCGCGGAGCAATGCGATCGTCGCAGGATTTTGCGTTTTCGAAACTTATGTTTCTTCTTCTTCAGGTGGTCCCGGTACACCGGGTCCGGCTGGGTCAAGTGGACTCGCCAAACCCGCCCTAGCAGGCCCTCCAAAGGGCCCAGCATCTCTTGGTCCCCCTTACCCATATCCTCTGCACGCAGGGGCGCCCCCCGGTTCGCATGGTCTGCCTGCAGACTTGTCGGCATACCCTCAAGGTGAGCATCTACCAAGGGGTTCTGGAAGACAAAATTGCTCTACGCCTCTCGACGGGAGCTAGCTCCCTCGACGTAGATGATTGTGATATTTCGCTTCTTTCGGGACGAAACTGCCCGAGCAAGCGATTCCATGGTCGTCCTCGAGAGAAATTTCTAGCATATAAGAGCCGTTCGATCAGGCCCCGATTCTCCTTTGTGAAACGTTCCTTCCTCGCTTTCAGGGATGCTGCACAACAATTTGTCTCCAGCGCTGAATTCATACCCAAGGGGGCTGGTGGGCTACGACCCCCACCCCTCGATGAGAGGACCCGGATTCGGTATGCCAGGAGGTGGCAAGCCCGCCTACTCGTTCCATGTGTCGGCCGAGGGTCAAATGCAACCCGTTCCGTTCCCCCCGGACGCCCTTCTAGGGGCTGGCATTCCGAGACACGCTCGTCAGATCAACACATTGGCGCATGGTGAAGTCGTTTGCGCCGTGACCATTTCAAATCCGACGAAATACGTGTATACGGGCGGTAAAGGCTGCGTCAAGGTCTGGGACATATCTCAGCCCGGCACGAAGCAACCGGTCTCGCAGCTCGACTGCCTTCAACGGGACAACTACATTCGATCTTGCAAACTTCTTCCTGACGGAAGAACGCTCATCGTCGGAGGAGAGGCATCCACGATCTCAATTTGGGACCTCGCGCCGGTGCGTACTCATTATCTTCCTTATGAACGTTGTCCTTCTTGAAATCCGAGAGTCACGCGCTCCGAAACGCAAGAACTGGTTACTGAATCGATTCTAATCTCAAATCATTTCTCACAGCCCACACCGAGGATCAAAGCCGAACTCACCTCGTCGGCACCTGCCTGTTACGCGCTAGCTATCAGCCCCGATTCTAAGGTGTGTTTCAGTTGTTGCAGCGATGGAAACATCGCTGTGTGGGATCTCCATAACCAGGCTCTGGTACGCCAATTCGTAGGCCATACGGACGGCGCCAGCTGCATCGATATCTCCAGCGACGGCACGAAACTGTGGACCGGCGGCTTGGACAACTCAGTGCGCTCGTGGGATCTGCGTGAAGGTCGCCAGCTGCAGCAGCACGATTTCACCTCGCAGATCTTCTCACTCGGCTACTGTCCGACCGGTGAATGGCTGGCCGTTGGAATGGAGAGCAGCAACGTCGAGGTGCTCCATTGCAGCAAACCCGACAAGTACCAACTGCATCTGCACGAAAGCTGCGTCTTGTCGCTGAAGTTCGCCTACTGCGGCAAGTGGTTCGTCTCGACCGGCAAAGACAACCTCCTCAATGCGTGGAGGACGCCTTACGGAGCGTCCATCTTCCAGTCGAAGGAATCGTCATCGGTACTGTCCTGCGATATCTCATCGGACGACAAGTACATCGTAACCGGGTCCGGCGATAAGAAGGCGACCGTCTACGAGGTGATATACTGAAACTAGAGCGGAGGAAAAAATCCGGAAGAACTTCATTCTACGATGCGGGACTTGACGACGGCCCGTAGCGTCGACTCAACACGGTGGGAGGCTGGAATTCGTTTTGTACATTTCATTGAAGAGACAGCGTTGAAATTTCTAGCCAACCCTCCAAAAAGCATATTAAGGACATGATCCCAAGACTGATGTGAACGATAGATTCGAAACGAGGGAACGAAAGAAGTAGTGATTGTGTGTGTGAAAGGGGGAGTGAAAGAACTTCGGATGTGCGAGTGCATGATGCGTGATTGCCCGCCTGCGGGAGTGTGAGTTAGGCTTTTCTGGGTTCTGTAGCTCGCCCCGCTAACGTGGCCTGGTGGCTGTTAATCTGATCACGAGCTAATTGGACTCGTATTAACGCTGTAAGCCGAAGGAAAAATGGAACCACGAGACCTAGAGAAGATATCATCGAGCTGCATCTCCCGCGTTTCTGATGACAGCCTCAAGAGGAGGCGAGAATTGGATCCAGAGAGAGGAATAAGACCTTGGTGGGCCGTGTACCTTTTTCGCATGTAGCGGAAAGGGCTGGCCGCTTTTTCATTTGTTCTCAACTGTCTATAAATCAAACTTGATTTGTATATTTCCTATATCGATATAAGAGAAGCAACGCGAGAAAGTATCCCGCGGAAGATGTTTAGACCTAAATAAACAGCTCGTATCCCCGAAGTGCGAGATGAAAGTAAACTTCTTGAAAGAAAACTCTGTCTCAGCTAGAACGTTTTAGAGTTTCGTAGATCACTGGAGTCAGAGTGCCAATGACCATGCAAGCTCGCAGAAGTTGACCATGCCTCGGCCCGAAGCGTTTCGCTTCTATCCTCGAAAGTTCTGTAATGGTATACCCTCGAGAAGAATTCTTCGGAGTACGTTCTCATTGTCAGTCAGATTTTGCACCTCATTCGGACCGTGACCGGGAATCCCCGTGATCCTCGCCCAGAGCATGGCCCTACACCATTGATCCCAACCACAGACTCAACTCGATGTCTTCAATAAGTCGTAGATGAACAGCGAGGAATATGAGAGAGGAAAACGTGGAGAATGCAGGGGTACTAGATCGTCATCCGGAACTACTCCAGGCGAATGACTCGAATCATCGATGGAGACCGTCATCTATCATTTTTGTTCATTAGTTTGCTCGTTTTCATTCCCGATTGTCACTGAACAATATGAGTCGGAGTAGAGCGATGACGACATGGGACGACTCTGTCTACTCTGATGAGTTGGATTAGGCTCGCACACAGGCACAAATATCTGGTTCCATCTCTCATTCTACGTTCCCAAACAGATGATACCCATTGAGGAAATGTCGAGCAAGTTGAACAGAGTTAATAAAATACAAGCAATGTTCCTCCTCCATGAGTTTCATGATTCGGACCAATTCGCCCTCTGTCCTTTATTTCTAGGATGGTCTCATGCGGTGACGCTTCGATGCGCTCTCGCAGGTGGATGTGCGCTCCATGCCGTCAAGAAAGAGACGTACGCTCTCATTCCGATCATTCACCATTCACAGTCAGTTATGTGAATCGAGAGCATGATGTCAATACGGGGATCGCCGTGCCCGAGTCAGCTCTTGAGGATGGAAACACATCTTCCCCTGTACCTAACGACAGCTTCGAACCGTCAGAATCGATCAAGACGCCACCCGTTTTTTCCGGCAGCGGGTTCTTCCCCGCTCGGCCTTGAAGGCTGCTGCCACCAGTAAACAGGAGAAGGTCGCATTCGACAAGTTCCCTTGCTGAGCCCTGCGATCATCATCCGCTGGCAGACGTATTCTAGAGAAAACCTGATAGGATCAGCCGCGTTCCGCGTTCGCTCGCGACTCTCAAGATGCCATCAAGTCTTATCGAGCCAATGAACAGCGAGCGTCGTGAGCTCTCTAGACTCTAGAACCTTGACTTCTCACACAAGAGTTCGCACAAGAGCAAGCCAAGTAGTCTTCTGTCGTTCCGTCCCTTCCGCTGCATCGGAATCCGCCAGAATAGGAATCGAATTGCTGGTTCTCCGATTGCAGGATATTCCACAGTGGAAGCGACGCGCGATCATAAAATATTCTCCGTCGGGAGTAGAATGAAGGAGATCAGCTATAACGATAACCACCCGAAATCGCGGACGGCAACAACGGCTGAGTTCACCGTGCTCGTTCCGCGCATGTACGTTCGTAAGTATGTTTTTCTCTCTCTCTATCTATCTGGCAGGATTCTCGTCGTCCCGCTCGGATGTGAGCAGGTGCAAATAAGTGTACAACTCGCCCGCGGTGGCTTGCTTTCAGATAACCTCAATGTGAACACAAAAGCTCTATCCGCACGTAGAAGCCCTGTTGCGGTCATGCTTATGATGAATGACACTAAGGCGATAATAACATAATCGTAAGATTGAACGAGTCAACAGACCAAGCGAAGAATACAAGATAGCGAGAATCGGATGGCGAGACAAATGTTGAACGAGTGGGTGACTACGTGGGTGATGGCTGACGCTGGCTCGGTGTAGTGTGCACAGCTTTCACGCCTGAGGAAGCCACCGGCGCACCCGCGCTCGAACATCGTCAAGCATTCAGAATAGAGCATCAGGCTTGTAGTGAAGAGATTATACGTCCTTTCGGAGAGATGACAAGCGCAGGGCGCATTTAACATCTAGAACGCTCGGTCGCGCTCGAGCGGGGACCTCTCTCGGCTCCCTCCATGGGGATCGCAGAGCAAGAATGAGACTCCACCGACCAGATCCGACCCAGGACGATGCGGAATCATTGCGGAGATCAGATGCGAGAAAAACGAGGAACTACACAGGAGCCTCGTGAGCGAAGGGTGGTATGATACGTTTGATTTGAGATTGATGACAAGTTACAACATTTGCGCGCCAAGTTGCCTCTCTGTAAACTTGCTGTGCGGCGTGAGTTCGTGCTTATGCATTGCTGGCCTCGTAAGCTCATTCTTCCCCTAATGCAGTCGCGTGTCCTTCTGTCGTCGTTGCGTCGCCGCTCCATCGGTCGGAGTGAGGAACACGTCGTGTCTCAGATTCGGAGAGCTGCCTTGATTGTTTGCTCACGGCTTTATCATCTCCCCGTTGAGTGCATGACCCTCATTCCGCACTCGCTCGGCTCAGTTCCCCTCCTTCTTATTCCCTTCTCGCCCGAGCCTGAGTCTGTCCACATTCCTCAAAGAGGCATGAAATGGCGAGACAAATGAATGCCAGCGCCTCGCCGTCCCTCTATCGGGAGTCTGTAGGTGGTGTGGTCGAATGTTAGGCAGCGAAAAAACACCAGGGCAACATGTAGGGTCACCCCTCCAAGTGGATCGACCCTTCATTGCATCTGTCCTGGTCACCGCGTTTCTGTCGTTGTTTGCTCTCACATCTCCGCACATCAGGCTCCGATGCATGCCGAGACATCGATAGGCCCGTAGCTTGATCGGAGGGAGTCGCGAGTGCTTGAAGAAATAATTGTTTCACCGATTGCTCTTTCCTATGAGCAGCATCGTCCCCTCCAGTTCTTCTCGTGAGAGAATTCAGACAGACTCGTTTCTGACGTTTCCTTTCGGCTTCGAAGTGATTCGAACGGTTTACATTGAATACAAATCTTTCTCGCTCAGAAGGGCTCATTTTCCTCTTTGACGTCGTCTGTCAACAAACCTCCCCGAGTCCTCGGTTCCGACTGCTTTGCTCTCGGATCGAGGCCGCTCTCCCCAGGCACTCACTTTCCTCTTTCTAATCTTCTTCGCAAGCAGGTTCCACTCTTCACTGAGAACCTGTGTTACGGCGGCGAGTCTTTTTCACTTTTCTCTTTCTTTCGTTTTTTCATCCTTCTCTTTCATTTTACCCCTCTTGCTGTTTTCCTCCTTCCGTCCTCTCTTCGCTTTTTATTCGTTTGCGCAGCTTTCCGCAGACTCGGGAGAGGGAGGAGCGAGTGACTGACTATAAGACCAAGAAAAAGAAGAAGAGGGGTTGAAAGGGCGGCAGCAGCAGCAGCAGCGACGTCGGCGGCAGCAGCGCAATGAGGAGAAGCGGGGCTAGAGGGGGAAATAAAAGAGAGTTCGTCCTAGATTGGTCCCTCGCCTCTCATTCTTCTTTAGCCTCTAGCCAGCAGTCCAATCTCTCTCGCTCTCTCCTCTTAAACTCTCCGTTGTTCTCCTTGTACTTCTCTTGTCTTCTCCTTCGACCGTCTCTCCGTCCTCTCCTTGTTCCCTCCGCACACATCATACACACACGCCGACACTCCGCCCTTATCCCTCTTGCTAATTTGGGGTCGACTAACTCTCTTTCTCTCTCTCCCCTCCGCCTCCTTCCTCCCCTCTCAATCCTCCCGCCGTTCTCCTCTATCTCTCTCTTTCGCTCTCTCTACAACTCATCCTTGTTTCCGTCCTCCAAACGCTTTGCAGCCGCTGCTGGCGGTTCTGGTTTCCTCGGTTGTCTCCCTTCCCTCTTTCCTTTTTTTCCATTCTCCTCTCGGGGGTTTCGCCATATCCTCTCGCCCGGCTGCAGCCGTCGCGATTGATGTCAGCGGGTGGGCAGCGAAAATTGGAGGGATGCGGGGAGGGATGGGTGAGAGGCGGTGACGACGCAGAGACAGCACCTACCGACACCATCCACCAGCCACCCTCCCTTTTCCCTCCTTCTCCCTTTATTCTCGCTCAGTCACTCACCCAGTCAGCCAGCGGGGAGCTGGGGAAAAAGTGGAGCAGAAGCAGACATGATGGTGCGTAAAAAGACTGCTTTTACAACCACCAAAATCCCGTTCCTCCCCCGGCACACAGTCATGGGAGCAGGGAAGGATCCGAAACTCTCTCTCCGCGCCCCGTTTCGCCTCGGCACTCTGACTCTGTTCCTCCCCGTCCGCTTCCCGGTTTCTCACTCGCTCGCCGGCTCGCACCCTTTCTGCTCCACCGAAGGCAGTTGGAAGAGAAACAAGGAGAAGCCTGAACGAACATAGAGCGATGGGAGGGGGTAGCTCGCGAAGTGAAAGGCGGAAGGAA